CATTAATAAATGCAGACCCATGTACAACTATACAAACGAACACACAGACGGACACGCGCACGCAGAAACACAAACAAACAAACAAACAAACAAACACACACACACACACACACACAAAAAAAAAAGACACACACACACACACACACACACACACACACACTCTCTCTCTCTCTCTCTCTCTCTCTCTCTCTCTCTCTCTCTCTCTCTCTCTCTCTCTCTCAGCGTTCCCACATTATAATTAAAATACGCGCGGTTCTACACTAGAAAATAGAGAAAATAAGTAAGTCATTTTTGCATTAATGTAACCACTCGGTTCCAAGAGGAATCACCCTGTTGTATAAACCAGTCTTTTGCTATTCCAAACATTTCGCTAAATGAATGTTGTTAGCGTGAAACAGAACCCAATTAACGGACCGTGAATAACTACAAATTGTTTTTTTTTTTCTTTTTGGCTTTCTCTTTTATTGTTAACATTAATATTAATATTATTATCGACATTATTATCGAATTAAACACTAGTGCATTTTTTATTTACCCATCTTATATATTACAATGAACGCTGTCCTGAAGATCTCTTGAGTAAGAATTTGCCTCATCCTGCATCAGTTTACACCTAATTCATTGCGTAAGCAGAAAATTGCTCGCAGGCAACAAACTGCAATGTAATTATAAAAGTTCTTAAAACGAGTTCGAGGCAATACGCACCCGGAATCGAAGACCAGACAAAAAAAAAATCAGAAAAAAAACATGGCAGTGTAGCTTAAAGCAGACAACGTGGCTAGCCAAAAGCAGACACAGTAAGGCGGGGGAACGGAGGGGATGGGGGAGCAGAGGAGGGAAGGGAGGGAAGGGAGGGAAGGGAGGGAAGGGAGGGAGGGAGGGAGGGAGAGAGGGAGGGAGGGAGGGAGGGAGGGAGGGAGGGAGGGAGGGAGGGAGAGAGGGAGGGAGGGAGGGAGGAGAGGGGAGGAGCAATCAGCAGTTCGAAAGACCACGGGTACATGCGGATACACAGTGGAAGGAGGAGGGGTGAGAGAGAGAGGTGGGGGAGCGTATTTTTTTTCAATGGGGGTGGGGGAAAGCACTTGGTCCTTCCTGTTTTCCTGGGGTACTGCTACTATATAACTATAACGTAGTTTTGTTTTCACACTCCGCTTGGCTATTCTATATTCTACCACTCAATTATCCATCGTTCAATTTCTCTGAGAAACACAATAATGCATACCGAATAGGCGATTAAAATACACATTGATAAACATGCCAAACCATCCCAACGCTTGAATACATACAATGATCGTGCACGAAGTGTATAAAAGACATTGCATGTGCAATTGAACGCATCGATACTGTTGTTGAAAACCAAATCGTAAAAATTCCTGCACAAAACAAACCGACCTTATAACACACCCGAACTACACACAATAGCTCGGACGAAAATCGGATCACGGAAGTTGTACCAAAAAAGTAAAAAAACAGTAACGATGCGAAATAAAAACTAGTGAGCAAGCACGGACAATGGAAGAGGAATAAAAGGCAAATGGAGAAAATAAAGATAAAAAATATACAATGCAAGTGGGATAAAAGGTAAAAATGAAAGAAAAAATCGAGCATAAACCGCGGGACCGCCCTGTCATTTTGCAGGAGCGAAAGGCGCGCGGCATGTCGGACAGAAGAGTGCGCTAAAAAATTTACGCCCTTCGTCACGCCACGCTCTTTGCATAACTGCGTGCACTCCCCTGTCCCCTCATTCCGCCGCATGCGAGCGAGGACTGCGGCCAGGTCAATTACCGATAACCACGAGGCGTGTGAGGAATCCGACGTATTTGCAAGCACCTCGCGAAGACCTCCTTACAATGGCCATTTTTCAAAAATCTCCTCGCAGAAAGGAGAAAGCAGCCTTTGGAGGAACCACCTCGCATGCCTTCACTGTGCACCTCGTTTCCCTTCCTTGCTTCCCTTCGCTTCGCCACGCTGCCATTCATATCAAGCTCTCATTCGCTCCTTGCTTGCTTGCGATCTGGCTCTGCCTGCTTACCCTCCCCTCCTCGAATTCTGCTTGCCAGCTAACCTTACTTTCTAGATCTATGCTTTCCTTCCCGCCTCGATCTTTGCGCCTTTGCTTTTCTTGATCTTCTCGATCTTTCTGCTTGACCTCTGCTTACCTTCAGATTAACACATATTCCCTCCCTTTTTTATTTCTACTTGTTAACTCACCCTGCCTGCTACCCAGCCTCCCTCGATCACCCATTTACTCCCTGTCCTCGAGAAAGAAAACGGCGCTCGGGCCACGTGGTTCGCCGACCCTTCGACTGCAATCCCGCAACCGCAGTTCGAGCGCCGACCACTCATGCGTATTTTGAAACCCCATTACCGTCAAAGAGAAAAGCCAGTGGCGCGCGCAATGTAATACGATTAATTTTGCTGATGGGTGTATAATCGTATGAATTTCAAATATGTGAGCTCACGCGCGTGCGCTTGAGCGTTCGTAACTCTCAATGGGAGTTTAATTGACCGTAGAGAGTGCGCAAAATCTCCTCTTTCTTTTTCTCTCACACTCTCTCCCTCTTCTCGCCTCCTCCTTCCTTCCCTCTCAGGTGATAATAAAAAGCCGAAAAGAAAGAAAGTAGTATGAAACGAAAGCGTTCGATGAGCGAATGGCAGACAGAAGAGAGAAGAGAGAGAGAAGAGAGAGAGGGGAGAGAGAGAGGAGAGAGAGAGAGAGAGAGAGAGAGAGAGAGAGAGAGAGAGAGAGAGAGAGAGAGAGAGAGAGAGAGAGAGAGAGAGAGAGAGAGAGGAAATGGAACAGGGGAGAGGGAGAAGGAAAAGGAGAAGGAGAAGGAGAAGGAGGGAGAGGGAGAAGGAGGGAGAGAGAGAGAGAGAGAGAGAGAGAGAGAGAGAGAGAGAGAGAGAGAGAGAGAGAGAGAGAGAGAGAGAGAGAGAGAGAGAGAGAGAGAGAGAGAGAGGAAATGGAACAGGGGAGAGGGAGAAGGAAAAGGAGAAGGAGAAGGAGAAGGAGGGAGAGGGAGGGGAGAAGGAGGGAGAGAGAGAGAGAGAGAGAGAGAGAGAGAGAGAGAGAGAGAGAGAGAGAGAGAGAGAGAGAGAGAGAGAGAGAGAGAGAGAGAGAGAGAGAGAGAGAGAGAGAGAGGGGGGGGGGGAATAGGAAAAGCGAGAGCGATAGCGGTAGAGCACGAGAAGAAGAGAGTGCGAGAGTGCGAGAGCGCGATCGAGGCGCGTGGAGACTGGCTAAGAGGCGTCGTGCGTGCGGATCACACCTTCGGCAGGATTTGTACATCGGGGAATCCTCGCAGCCCGGTAGAGGTGCGGCGTCACGCGGCGTGGACCTCCAACGTGACACGTGGGAGAGAAGGAAGGGAGGCAAGGTAGCGGAGATGACAGGGGTGGAAAGATAAAAGAGAGACAGGAGAGGAGAGGAGGGAAAAGAGAAAAGAGAAGAGAAAGAACGACCTATCTACAATCTCTCCACCCCATGACCCTACTCCTCGGCCTCTGCTTTTGTCCCAACTCCTCTCCTCTCTCGACCTTATCTCTCATCTCTCCTCTTCTCTCACCTGTTCCCCTCCCTCACCCCACCCCGTCCCCCCTCGCTGCCAAACCCAAAGCAACCTCAAGGTAACCAACCTGTTATGTGATGCCCCCAGTCACACAATCCCCACTAACCCCCTCCCCCCTCTCCTTTTCTCATTAATCCCATATTTCATTCTTTTTCTTCTTCATCTCCTCCCCCTCCTCCTTTAGATACGGAAATGCACTTCAGCATTGAGCCAGAACATCCTTATCGAGGAAAGAAAAGTAAGGCGGATGCTGTTGCAAAGACATCCACCTACAATTCTGCACGAAAATGTGCAATCATCCCAAGATGACTGCGGCGACCCAGAAAGCAAAAAGTAAACACAACGCACGCAGCACGACTCCCCTAACATCCCATAGAAGAAATGCAATCCTATGCAATCCCAAAATAACCAAGCATTAGGAGCGTGATTGCAAACCCGAGCTACACACAAAGCATTTTAATCACCAAACGGATAGACGGACGGACAAAAATAGTTAAACAAAAATGTGTACGTGCCTGAGTGCGTGTGCATGTGTGTGAGAGAGAGTCAGTGTGAAAGGAAGAGTGAGTATATGAGTATATGAGTATGTGAGTGTGAGTGTGAGTGTGAGTGTGAGAGAGAGAGAGAGAGAGAGAGAGAGAGAGAGAGAGAGAGAGAGAGAGAGAGAGAGAGAGAGAGAGAGAGAGAGAGAGAGAGAGAGAGAGAGAGAGAGTTATCCTGATGCAGGACGGATTGGCATAAATAATAAACAAGGTCGGGAGATATAATTTGTGTGCGTTTAGCAAGTGGAATAAAAGGATAAAGAGGAATAGAAAAAAGGATTGTGGAGAAGGATTGGATACATACCGAGAGTGGGCCAAAGTGTGGAGGGGGGGAAGCAAGAAAGGCAGAAAAGGTATGACAAGTCAAGCCCTTAAATGTCATAAAGCACAGGAAAACACTTCCTCTCCCTCATTCTGCCTCCCCCCACTTCCACTCTCTCCATTCCTCTACCTCCACTTCCCGTATAATATCCCCCTTTCCTTCCCCTCTTTCATACCTTCGCTTAAACCCCGACCCTCGCCCTCCGCCCTCGTGCCCTATTTCAGTTCTTGTCGTGACCCCACAGTGAGTACTCTGCATCAGAGATCCCTTCCCCTCGCCCTCGTCACTAACCAATCACGTCCTGTTACTTCCCCTTGTCCATAGCTCCCGCACTGTCCTTTCCACCAGAAACAATTACCAGGAGCCTCGACACCCTTCGTCCTTACTATGGAGACCCGGTCCCTTGACCCCTCTCTTGATAATCAGTAATTAACAGACTTCCTCGTCTACCCTCGCCTTCCCCAAGAAACGCTATTAAATTCGCCACAATTACTATCATGTCGACCCTTACCTCCGTCCGTCACTGCACTTTTTTTTTACTTTCTACGCCTTCATCCACACCCTCCATTAAAACAGCACGTCCATCCGACCATGACTGCGGAAACGAACGCCAGAGCCCTCACCCGCGTCCCATTCCATATTACTTGCATAGCGGCCCTTCCCTCTTGCCCCCGTTCCCAGCTAATAAAATATTCCTCAAAGCATCGCCGTATTGAACGGGGATTGCTTGCAACAGGTAAAACGAAAAGTAATGAATCAAAAGTACACGCGGCGCACTCTGTGATCGGTCCCCAATACAGAAAACGGAACTGTCTCAGCACAGAAAACGCACACTTTGAGAGGTGAACTAAACAAAAATGACGTACTCACCCTTCTCGTTTCGATGTCCAGGTTAAGTTTTCGTAATTTCTCCTTCTTCAGGGAGTCGCCGAGGACGGGTTCGCACATGAAGAACCTGGAGCTCCGGATCCCGTCATCTCTGTAACGTATTGGAAAAGGGTACAGTAGAATCCAAATGAGAGACTTCTAACTTGTTTAGGCCACAACCTTCTGAAGCCTCATAAACATACATAGGAAAATCTGACAAACACACATACTACATAACCTATATCAAAATAACTGCAGATTAACACATATACTCTCCATAACCAGAATATCAATACGCATCAAAACAAGTGACTCGAAAGTACATTCCAACAACAAATCGATTATTTCCGCCATGATTTAATCTCTTATGAAATGCTCTGCTTAATTACACAAAACCACAAAAAAATCATAATCGCTGATCATTACCATAAACGTGTCTCATATCATCACATTAACTAGGCTACTGAGCTTACAAATTTAATCCTTATTTATGACATTCATCCTAACCAGGTAATTAACATAATCATTCACAAATAAATCTACCTGAATCTATAAATTCCCAATCTACATTTACAAGCATCTCCTAAGCCTCATTCTAAGTTTTGTATACACTATAAAAAGCTTGGTTACTTAAAGGTATCAACGGCTCGAGTCCGCTATCTGTACCTGCCAATCTACCTGGACTTTCTGATACCGTTCGTCTGATAAAATCTTCGCTTATTTCCAAGAGAGAGAGAGAGAGAGAGAGAGAGAGAGAGAGAGAGAGAGAGAGAGAGAGAGAGAGAGAGAGAGAGAGAGAGAGAGAGAGAGAGAGAGAGAGAGAGAGGAGAGAGAGAGAGAGAGAGAGAGAGAGAGAGAGAGAGAGAGAGGAGAGAGAGGAGAGAGAGGAGAGAGAGAGAGAGAGAGAGGAGAGAGAGAGAGAGAGAGAGAGAGAGAGAGAGAGAGAGAGAGAGAGAGAGAGAGAGAGAGAGAGAGAGAGAGAGAGAGAGAGAGAGAGAGAGAGAGAGAGAGAGAGAGAGAGAGAGAGAGAGAGAGAGAGAGAGAGAGAGAGAGAGAGAGAGAGAGAGAGAGAGAGAGAGAGAGGAAGGAGAGAGAGAGAGAGAGAGAGAGAGGAAGAGAGAGAGAGAGAGAGAGAGAGAGAGAGAGGAGAGAGAGAGAGAGAGAGAGAGAGGAGAGAGAGAGGAAGGAGGAGGAGAGAGTAGAGAGAGAGGAAGAGAGAGAGAGAGAGAGAGAGAGAGAGAGAGAGAGAGAGAGAGAGAGAGAGAGAGAGAGGAAGGGGGAGAGAGAGAGAGAGAGAGAGAGGAAGGGAGAGAGAGAGAGAGAGAGAGAGAGGAAGGGAGGGAGGGAGGGAGGGAGAGAGAGAGAGAGAGAGAGAGAGAGAGAGAGAGAGAGAGAGAGAGGAGAGAGAGAGAGAGAGAGAGAGAGAGAGAGAGAGAGAGAGAGAGGAGAGAGAGAGAGAGGAGAGAGAGAGAGAGAGAGAGAGAGAGAGAGGAGAGAGAGAGAGAGAGAGAGAGAGAGAGAGAGAGAGAGAGAGAGAGACGAGAGAGAGAGAGAGAGAGAGAGAGGGAGAGAGGGAGAGAGAGAGGGGGAGAGGGGGGGGAGAGAGAGAGGGAGAGAGAGAGAGAGAGAGAGAGAGAGAGAGAGAGAGAGAGAGAGAGAGAGAGAGAGAGAGAGAGAGAGAGAGAGAGAGAGAGAGAGAGGGAGAGGTGAAAGAAAGGAGAGAAATAGAAAAGAAAGAAGAAAAGAGAGTGGAAATGAGAGAGATGAGAAAGGAGAAAGAAAATGAAAGGGATTGAGAAGATAGGGAAGAGAAAATGAGAGGGAGTGAAAAGAGAGAAAAAAGAAAATGAGAAAAGAGAGGAAAAAGGAGAGAGAAAATGAAAGGGATTGAGGAGATAGGAAAGAGAAAATGAGAGGAAGTGAGCAGAAAGGAGAAAGAAAATGAGAGGGGAGAAAGGAGAGAGAAAATGAAAAAAAAGAGAGAGAAAGGAGACAGAAAAAGAGAGATAAGAAAGGAGAGAAAGAGAGAGAAGGATAACGAAGAGAGCCAGAGCTAGTGACAGCGCCAGAATCAAACAAAGAGAAAGACATCCCCCCGCCAGAGAACCCCCCCTTCCTACAAATCGCAACCCCCCCCCCCCTATGCAGCACCCGGCAGCACCCGAGCACAACAAACCTCGCATTTTCAGAAGCACAAACTAGCCTTGTTATGGTTCCCAATGACTCATCCTCCTGCTTGTTCGTTAACTTACCTTCCTAGCACCCGGCGGCCGCGCTCAACTACTCACTGTGAAACTAACAATATCGGCTCTATCTCGCTCACTCGAGAAGGTCGACGTGTTAAAAAAAAAAGAAAAAAAAAGAGAAATTCACCTGCATTCTAAGTGGAGGAGAGAATACGAAATCTAATTTACGAAGACTTCTAAGCATGTTTAAATTGTTTATTCAGTAGTGATATTAATGCTGATATAACTGATAATATTGCATCACAAAAATAAGTTTACTAATACTGATATTCAAAATAACGATGGTGATGGTCAGAGCGATGAGAGTTAGGGTTACGACGAGGTAGAAGATGGTGGTGCTTTGTCGCTGTTAATGACGATGGTGACATTTATACCATCAGCTCATTAGACCATCTTTAGTCCTTAACTGCCTTCTCTCTTTATCCTTTCTTTCCGGGAATTCGTCGGAGCTGATGTGTATGTGATAATGATAATGATAGTAATGATGATGATAATGATTATGACAAAGACAATCATAATGATGATGGTACTAATGACGATGATGACGAGTACGAGGCGACCACCCACCTGAGCTGGTCGATCTCGCGCATGATGTGTATGGGCGTCTCGGTGGCGTCGCGGTACAGCTGGACGAGCTCGGGCGGCCTCGACTCCTGGGTGAAGAGCTCTTGGCCGCTGGCTGGATCGCGGCTCCTGAAGTGCTCGCGCCTCTCGCTGAAGCTCCTCAGGTCGCCCTCGGCTGGAAAGGCAGATCGTCTCGGTAATTGGGAGGGTAAGAGGCGTGTCAGTATTTTTTTATGTATTTGCTTGGTATTAATAAGGAGGGTGTTTTGGTGATTGTGCTGTTAGTTTCATGTTTAATTAGTTTAATTAGTAATAGAGTAATAGAAGGGCATTGTTGTGTCATCAACTAATAACAAATGTGATCGTGAATTGTCGCCTAAAAAATGTACCCTATCACAGAGAATAAAAGAAGAACAAATTCAACAATCATCTCACCAATACAAATCTTAATACATGCATTAGCTTGCCGCGCACTGTGTACACGCTTAGGCACACACAATGACAGACAAATCTATACGTACTTATATAGACCACCTTGCATACACGCATGCGAGGACCCCCCCCCCCCCCCCACACACACACACACATACTTCCTCTCCAAGATAAAAATAATCACCGCAAGCAAAACGCATAGACACTACTAGCACATAGAGAAAAGTTTAGATTTTTTTTCTTTTTTTCGCGTTCACACTAACAACCTTGAACACGAACACGAGAGTCACAACTTTGCCTCGCTTCCTCCTCGACTCGCAGAAGAAGCAGGAGGAGGAGGGAGAGAAGAAGGAGAAGGAGAAGAAGACCCAGCCAAGCCTGCGGCCCGTGCCACACTGGCCACTTGTGCTCCTCGAGGCTATAAGAGGAGGAGGAGGAGGAGGAGGAGGAGGAGGAGGAGGAGGAGGAGGAGGAGGAAGAGAAGAAAGAAGATGATGAAGAAAAAGAAAAGCTAGTGGGAAGGAAGTAGAAGGAATATGAGACAAGGTGGGGCAGAAGGAAAGAGAGAGAGGGGAATAGTACTGTGTGGAGAGAAGGTACAGAAGTAGAGTGAGAAAGGGGTAGAGCGGTAAAGGAGGAAAGGGGGAGGGGGAGAAGTAGAGAAGGAGAGGGGGGGCATGCAAGAGGCACGATCTGGAAGCCCCGCGTGATCCCCTTCTCTCTCATCCGTCTCCCTCTCTACCTGGCCGATGGCGCTGCCGTCGCTGTCATCATATATGTAATATAATCCCTAATTCTTTGCGCCCATACCCCGTCTCTCTCTCTCTCTCTCTCTCTCTCTCTCTCTCTCTCTCTCTCTCTCTCTCTCTCTCTCTCTCTCTCTCTCTCTCTCTCTCTCTCTAAGTCTATGTATTTATATATCTATGTGTGTGTCCATCCATCCATATATTTCTCTATCATCTCTCTTTTCACAGTTCACGTTTCTTTTTTTTCCTTTTTTTGCTACAGAATACAAATACAGCGCTGACCATGCAAAACACAATAAAAGTAATGTGAATAAAACCCACAAACGACCCATAAACCACATAAGACAAAAGTATTTCATAGTCTCATCGTTATCGACATGGCACTTACAGTAATCACAATCCTATATCAGCACTCCCCCCTTTACCCCCACCCACCCCCTCCTGCCACCCCAGAACCCCTCGGCGGCAGGATCAGAAGATAACGATCACAGGAAACTTAATCTTCGTCGCCACCACACCTTTCATTAGCACCTTACACGCCTAGGGGATGGTGACACGGGGTGTGGTACAGGTAGAGGCAGGGGCCGGGGGAGAGGGGATAGAGGTACGGAAAGAATAGAGGTTGCTTCTGGGAATAGGGGAAGGTGGGTTAGGGGTGACTAGGAAGAGGACGATAGATAGGGTACGGATAGGAGAGTGAATGGGAGGGATG